GCATAATTGAATTGAATATTTATAGTGATTTTCTTACCAAAGAAATGCATTTAGTTAAAGGGAAGTAAAAATTCGAAGCTCAAATTTCTAAACATAGTTATCTTCATGTATATTAATTCTGCCAGGTATAATCTTTTGTATTACAAAATATCTCTATAGTGTTCTGACTTGAGATACTATACTGTGAAAGGAAACAAAATGGTCCTGCCTAGAAATTAGAAATAGGAACTAGAAAACAAGAAATAGGAACTCATAAATGGAGCAATGCAGCAGTTACTGGAAGATGCTATTAAAGGAAAAAGTAGCTAAGATTCTAACTTTCTTTTACAGTGCTATCTAAGGTCATCAGATAACAATATTTCAAACTCATAAATGGGGAGTTCCCTGGCAGTCCAGTGGTTAGGACTCCACTTTGACTGCCATGGCTCCAGGTGTAATCCGTGGCTGGGGAACTAAGATCCTGCAACCTGCTCAGCGGAGCCAAGAAAAAAAAACAACTCATAAATAATCTTCCACAGTATAATTGGTTGCACATTACTGGTAGTAGAACATAGATATAGAATGTCAGTGGTGTGACATTGATGGCAATTTGTATTATTGGTATAAAATACCTTTAACTGAAATTATAATAATCTACTCCATTGTATTTTCCTCTGCAGTGGTTTGTAGTCCTGGGACTTTTAGTCCTGATGTTGATGTTACATGTCAGACCTGCATTTCCGTCCAAATCTACGGAGCTAAATCATGCCAGTAAATTTCAACATGAAGACTAGGGGTGAAAGCATCATTACTTGCTTGTGGAGGTGGAGGACATAAGATGATTTGTTCACATCCCAAAGTGTCATAGATATTTTCATTAAGGAAGATCAGTAAGACCTAAACATTGGAAAACATACATTTTAAAAACCATAAAAAGATAGTCAACATGGTATTTCTAAGAAGGCATTTAATCTCAGTGGATGATTTTTAATGAAATATGTTTTGTTGCTTACAAACAATCTTGTTTCTTTGTACCTAAAACTATGTTAAGGTCAAGAAGAGTAGGCAAGTATAATAAAATTTTATACTTTCCATATATTGATTTGTTTGATATCACTCATATGATATATCATAATATATTACCTTTATAATTAGAACCAAAAAAGTTGTTTCTTTTAGTCTCTTTGCTTTTAGTCTGTTTATTTTAGAATAATAGGCTTTATTTTTTAGTATAGTTTTAGGGTTGCAGAAAAATTGAGCAGCTATTACAGAGTTCCATATACCCGCTTCAGCCCACACCCTCACCCCTCCCGAGTTTCCCCTATTAGTATCATCTTGCATTAGCGTGATACATTTGTTATCATTAATGGACCAATGTTGATACATTATTATTAACTACAGTTTAGTTTATATTAAGGTTCATTCTGCATGTCGTACAGTTCTGTGGGTTTTGACAAGTGCATATTGACATGTGTCCACCCCTACAGTTCATACAGAATAGTTTCACCACCCTTAAAATGCCCTGTGTTTAATCTGTTCTTCTCTCTCTCTTACCCCACAGCCCTTGACAACCACTAATCTTGTTACTGTCTCTACAGTTTTGCCTTTCCCAAAGTGGATTAAACTTGGAACCATACAGTATGTAGACTTTCCAGACTGGCTTCTTTCACTTACCAATATTCATTTAAGATTCCTCCATGTCACTGTATGGCTTTGATAGAGAATTTTTTATTGCTAACTAATATTCCATATCATGGGTGTATAAAGGACATCTTGATTGCTCCCGGTTTTTGATGATTATGAATAAAATTGCTATAAATATTTGTGTACAGGTTTTTGTATGGACATGAGTTTTCAAATCAATGGCGTAAATACCTAGGAGCATGATTTCTGGGTTGTGTGGTAAGATAATGTCTAGTTTTGGAAGAAATTTCCAACCTGTGTTCCAAATTGGTTTACCATTTTACATTCCCACCACAATGGATGTGTTTCTTGTTCCTCATCTTCACCAGCTTTTGGTATTTTAAGTTTTTTTTTATTTTGGCTATTCTATTAGGTATGTAGTGATAGTTCGTTACTGTTTTAATTTTAAATCCCGTAATGACTTCTGGTCTGTGCATTATTTCATGTGTTTATTTGCCATCTGTGTATCTGTCATTTAGATCTTTCTCCTTGTTTTTATTGAATTTTTCATTCATATTGTTGAGTTCCAAGAGTTCTTTGTATATTTTAGATACAAATTCTTATCAGATATGTGTTTTGCAAATATTTTCTCGAATTTTGTGGTTTGTCTCTTCTTCTCACAATGTCTTTCGCTGAGCAGAAGTTTTTAAGTTTAGTAAAATCCAGTTTACCAATTTTGGGCTTCCCTGGTAGCTCACTGGTAAAGAATCCCCCTGCCAATGCAGGAGACACTGGTTCAGCCCCTAGTCTGGGAAGATCCTACATGCTGTGGAGCAACTAAGTGCATGCACCCCAACTATTGAGCCTGTGCTCCAGAACCCAGGGACCTGCAACTGCTGAGCCCTCACGCTGCACCCACAGAAGCCTGTGCGCCCTGGAGCCCACGTTCAGCAACAGGAGAAGCCACTGCAATGAGAAGCCTACACACTGCAACTGGAGAGCAGCCCCCGCTTGCCACAACTAGAAGAAAGCCTGGGCAACAAGGAAGACCCAGTGTAGCCAAAAATAAATAAATAAAGTTATAGTTTACCAGTACTTTTCCATGGATCATGCTTTTTATGTCTACAAACTCATCACCAAGCCCAAAGTCATGTAGTTTGCTCCTGTTGTATTCAAGAAGTTATTTAGTTTCATGATTTACATTTAGTCTAAGATGAATTAGTTTTTGTGAAAAATGTAAGTTGTATGTTTAGATTCTTTTTTTTTTTTTTGCCTATGGATGGTTCCAGCACCATTTGTTGAAAAGACTGTCCTTCCTCCATTGAACTGCCTTTGCTCCTTTGCCAAAGGTCAGTTGACTACATTTGTGTGGGTCTATGTCTGGGTTCCCTATTTATTAATTCATGTAATCTTTCCTCAGTATGGTACTACCTTGATTACTGTATAGTAAGGCTTACATTTGGTTGGTATCAGTCCCCTGACTTAGTTCTTCTTCAGTATGGTGTTAGTTATCCTGGGTCTTTTGCCTTTTTATATAAACTTTAAAAAAAATTTTATTATTTGACTGTGCTGGATCTTCATTGCTTCACACAGGTTTTCTCTAGTTGCAGCGAGTGGGGGCTGCTCGCCAGTTGTGATGCTTGGGCTTCTCATTCCTGTGGCTTCTCATTCCCAAAGCATAGGCTCCAGGCACACAGGCTCAGTAGTAGTGGCACACAAGTGTAGTTGCTCTGTGGCTTGTAGGATCTTCTTGGACCAGGGGTTGAACCCCTGTCCCCTGCCTGGGCAGGTGGATTCTTAACCACTGGACCACAAGGGAAATCTATGGTCTTGTATTTTTAATTTCAAATTCCAAGTGTTTAATTGCTGGTATTTAGGAAGGCAATTAACTTTTGTATATTAACCTTACATCCTGTGATCTTTCTCTAATTGCTATTAATTCCAGGAGGTTTTTTTGTAGATTCTTTGAGATTTTCTACTTAGACAACCATGTCATCTGCAAACAAAAGAGTTTTATTTCTTCCTTCCAATCTGTATATCTATTATTTCCTGATCTAGTCTCACTGTAATAGCTAGCACTTCCAGTATGACATTGAATAGTAACAGTGAGTGGGCACATCCTTGTCTTGTTTCTAATCTTAGAGAGAAAGCATCTAGTTTCTCACTATTACATGTGATGTTAGGTATAGTTTTTTTTTAATATATGTTCTTTGTTGAGGAAGTTCTCTATTCCTCTATTTGAATGATACGATCATATGATATTTTCACCTTTAGTCTGTTGTTGTGATAAATTGATTTTCAAATGTTGGAACTTTGAAAATATAGTCTTCTATATTCAGAATAAATTGTTTTTAGCCATCACTTTAGTTCAATGTTCAGTCGTGTCTGACTCTCTGTGACCCCATGGACTGCAGAATGCCAGGCCTCCCTATCCATCACCAACTCCCGGAGTTTACTCAAACTCATGTCCATTGAGCCGGTGATGCCATCCAACCATCTCATCCTCTGTCATCCCCTTCTCCTCCTGCCTTCAATCTTTCCCAGCATCAGGATGTTTTCCAGTGAGTCAGTTCTTTGCATCACGTGGCCAAAGTATTGGACTTTCAGCTTCAACATCAGTCCTTTCAGTGAATATTCAGGACTGGTTTCCTTTAGGATTGATTGGTTTAATCTCCTTCAGTCCAAGGACTCTCAAGAGTCTTCTCCAACACCACAGTTCAAAAGCATCAATTTTTAGTCATAATGTACAATTATCTTATACATTATTGAATTTGATTTGCTAATACTCTGTTGAGGAAATTTGCATTTATTTTATGAGACATATTAGTCTGCAGTTTTCCTTCCTTATGATATCATTATCTGTGTTTTAGTATTAGGGTTATTTTTTGTTAGTGTTAACATTGTAAGTATGTGTGCCAGTCGGGTCCAAACAGAGAGAAAACAAAGCATTTTGAACAGGGAAATTTTAATATAAAGAATTGTTAACCATAACGGGATTAGAATAATAAGGAATTGGATAATAAGATGTAGAGAACCCTAAAGACTCTGCTACAAAACCACACAAGGAAGAAGGGTTGCTGATGAAGCTGCTGGCCCCCAGGCACTGCAGGGTGCGGCCAGGGGAGACGTCGCACATGCTGCAGGGCCCTGTCAAGGGAACAACCTCCTGCTGTTTGATGTCAGCTCAGCTTGGCTTTTCCTTCCCTCTCCTTAGAAAATCCTGCAGTGTGTAGGCACTGCTCTTGCGTTTGTGAATTTCTTTTTTTCCCTAAGCCAGAAAGCAGTTTTCTCTTTTATATTATGTTTTACATCCTCCAGTGCCCCTGTCCTCTTCAGGTTGCTGCTGTATTTGCTTCTTAACTGTGTTCACCGTTAGCAGGCTTCCCTTACCCCATAGTTCATGCATCTGATAAATGTTTCTGAGGCACTTCTTGATTTCCTCCTTCAGTTTCAGAAGCTTCTTCATCCCCTCGAAAGGAAGAACATAGATAAACTGACAGATTAGTATGATTACCTCTATGAGTAGAAATAATGTTAATAGTCAAAAGCAAAACCTGATCTCAAGAAACATTAATTTTTAAGTTACAGTAATGGGGAAAAACATATCACTACCAGGTTTGTGCAGGTATCAGTGGCCTAGAGTGGAAGTTATTTTCTATCACAGCAGGCTTATTATTTCACCAATAACCCATTCCTCAGAATTGAAAATTAAGTAGCCAAAGAAAGAATTTTTGTATTTCCTACTGGGCCAGAGATTTTAACTATCACAAAGTAATATAACTTGCTCTTGCACAGTAATGAATTATGTAGGTCTGAAGGACCCTAAGGTTGCAGAAACATGATTGGTGCCAAAGTATGGTTGCGGAGTGGCAGAGTTTGTTTTGAAGACTGCTAGATATGTGAGTTGAAGATACGTGAAGGATAAACAGATACAGTACTATCACTTTGGGTCATCCCAGGGTAACACATTGATACCTAGTATCAGAATCTGGAAACAAATAGACCACAGTGAGGGTATTTGGAAAACAAAGACGGTAAGGAAATTGGGAAGCAAAAAGAAAAAAAAGTTTTGTGCTTTAAGCATAAAACTTGGACTGGAGAGCTCTAATTTCGGCACCTCGACCCTACCTCATTTCTGTGGGAGTTATTTGGAATGTGACTCAAGCAGAAGAAAGTCAACCAAATTTGTAAATGCAGAGGAAAGACGAAACTGAGGGTGGAGGTATATGTGTCTGCCTCCCTCTTCTTTCCTATGGCCCAGATGATGAAGTCTAATATCCAATCTCCAAAGCATCTTGCAAATTATGTCTCCCTTGAGTGACAGAAAGCAAGTGAGAAAGATGTCTACAGGTTACAATGGAAAGACCCTGGCTTTTTTATTCTAGTCCTGACTCATCATTTTGTATCTTGGCAAAGACCGTTTTCTCATCCCTGCTGTGGGGAAATTAATACCAGATTCAGCCTCTCTTAAAATATAACTTTATATGAAACAGCTATGTAGACCATAAAACACCAACAGTTTTAAGGCTCTGTATTAGCTTTGTGGTGGTGGTTGTTGCTCCATCACTCCTTTGTGGGCCTGTGATAAACAATGAAGTAATTCCACACAGCTAGGAATCTAGAGCTTTCACCATAATTTGCATTATTGTTCTTCAGTCACTCAGTTGTGTCCGATTCTTTGTGACACCACGGACTGCAACACGCCAGGCTTCCGTGTCCTTCACCATCTCCCGGAGTTTGCTCAAACTCATGTCCATAGAGTCGGTGATGCCATCCAACCATCTCATCCTCTGTCGTCCCCTTCTCCTGCCTTCAATCTTTCCCAGCATCAGGGTCTTTTCCAATGAGTCAGCTTTTTGCATCAGGGGGCCAAAGTTTTGAAGCTTCAGCTTCAGCATCAGTCCTTCCAATGAATATTCAGGGTTGATTTCCTTTAGCATTGATTGGTAATTTGCATACATTCTATCAATAAGCTTTTATTTACTACAGGTCCAGTGTTCAGTAGTCTTGGTCTCTATCACCAGGGAGGGCACAGACCAGTGTCTGAGACAAAAAAGCACTGCAATTAAGTGCCGTTGTGACTTAGATAGCAGTTGTGTCCTTTGGATGTTTAGGTGGTAGATTTGAGGGAAGATTTCAGAAGACAGGAAGAGGAAGGATTATACTGCCTCAACACACAAAAAGCTTAAAATGAAACAAGCATCACCATTCTCTTTTTTTTTTCACCACTGTTACTGTGAAATATAACATGCATACAGAAAAGTGCATTAAACACTAATTTACTGTTTAACATAATTATCAAATAAACATCTGAACTACCCACCTCCCAGTGAAGAAATAAAATATTTCTACCATCCTCGAAACCCACCCCTTTCCCATGTGCCTGTCCCTGATCTTATCATCCCTCCTCCAAAGAGGATGAATGATAATAATTATTTCCTGCCTTTTCTTAGAGTTTTACCACCAAAGTTGGATCCCTAAACTGTAAAGTTTCTCTGTGTTTGAACATAATGGAATCATAATGTATATACTCCTTTGTGCCTTGATTCTTTCTGAAGATTACTCTCACATAGAATTAGTTCATTTATACTCATTGCTGTATAGTATACCCATTATATAAATATACCACAGTTTGTTTATCCATTCTATTCTTGGGGAACACTCAAGTTGTTTCTGGTTTTGACTGTTACAACATCCTACTAAGTAAAATTCTTTAAAGTATATACCATGTGATGCATATGTGCACAAGTTTTTCTAGAGTTTATACCTAGCAGTCAAACTTGGGGGTTATAGGGTATGTCAGTGTTTCATTTGTAATGAACTGTTATTCAAAGAGTTTGTACTAATTTATCTTCCCAATGGTAGTGTGTCGAAGTTCTCATTGTTTCAGATACTCACCAACATTTGGTATTGTCAGACCTTTAATCCTTTTCCAGACTGGTAATTGAGTAATAGTATCTCCTGGAGGTTTTAATTTATGTTTCCTGATTACTAATCAGGTTAATCATCATTTCATGCTTGTTAGCCATTAGGATTCTTTTTCCAAATATTCTTCAGAACACTTTTGACTCTCTTTGTATTGAGCCGTCTTTTTTATTGATTGGTACAAGCTCCTTATACTGGATCTTATTATTTTGTAAGTTACATGTTTTAAATATCTTCTCCATGCTAGAGTTTGTCTTTTCACCTCTTTGTGATATCCTTTGATAAACAAATGTTTTTGTTTTGTTTGTTTGGGGTTTTGATTTTTCTTTTTTTTGGGGGGGGTGCTGTGCTGCACAGATCAACTTGTGGGATCTTAATTCCCTGACCAGGAATTGAACCTGTGCCATTGACAGTCAAAGTGCAGAGTCCTAACCATTGGACTGCCAGGGAATTCCCATGAACAAGCATTTTTAATGTTAATATAGTTATGGACTTGCCTTGGATCTAAATTCTATTTAGACCTATTTATCTAAATTCACATTTAGATCTAAATTCTAACTGGAATTAATTTTATATATGCTGTGTGCTAGGCATAGTTTATAGTTTTTTATCTATGTGGTTACTCAATTGTACTGACACCACTTAAAATCTAGCCTTTCCCCAGTACTCTGCAATGATACTTCTCTCATATAGCAGGTGTCTGTTTATGCATGAGAATCTGAGATGTCTCTTCTATTTTTCTATTTGTCTCTCCCTGCTCTAATGCTACACCAAAATATTACAGTTTTTATCTGGTAGAGCAAGTTTTTCCACCTTGTTCTTCAAGAGTATCATGGCTATTTTTGCCTCTTTGCACTTCCGTATAAGTCGAAGTGGATAACTTATTAAGTTATATGCACAGAAATGTTGGGATTTTTGTTGAGATTGCATTGAATCCATAAATTATTTGGGAAGATTTCACATTTTTACAATATAGTGGCTTCTAACTCTTCAACATAGTATTCCTTCTTTAAGTCCCCTAGGTCTCTCAATAAGAGTTTATAACTTAATGTGTCTTTCAGGCTTTTTGTTAGATGTATTCCTAGGTATTTCACATTTTTGGTGCTATTATAATTGGTATTTTTAAATTTCATGTCTTTTGTTGCTTATATAAGAATACAATTGGTTTATATATATATTTTAGCAAATTACTAAATTATCTTACTCCTTTTAATAATCTACAGACTCTTTTGGACTTAAAGTAGATCATCTGCAAGTAATACAATTTTCTTTTTTGGCAATTTTCTTTTTAAAACAGTAACCTTACATATTTTGTTTCTCTTTTGGCTTCCTATACTTGCTAGACCATCTATGTAATGTCAAATCAATAAAGGCAGTGGCAGTAGGCATCCTTGTCCTTCTTCTGATTGACAGAGAAAACTTATAACATTTCACTCCATTAAATATGATATTAACTGTAGGTATTTTATAATATGTGTATCAGATTAAAGACATCTCTTTTATTCTTGTTTTTCTAGTAGGAATTTTTTTGTACTTTTTTCCTCCAAAACAAACAACTTTTTAAAAATTTTATTCAAGTATAGTTGACTTACAGTGTTGTATTAGTTTCTGGTGTACAACAAAGGGATTCAGTTATATATATACATATGTATATATATACACACACACATATGTACATCCTTTTTCATATGCTTTCCTATTATGGTTTATCACAGGATATTGAATATAGTTCCCTATGCTATAGAGTAGGACCTTGTCATTCATCTATTCTCTATATAACAGTTTGCATCTGCTAATCCCAAACTCCCAATCTATCCCTCTCCTATCCCTTCCTCCCCCTTGGCAACCACCAAGTCTGTCCTCTGTGTCCATGAATATTTCGTAGATAAGTTCACTTGTGTCATATTTCAGAGTCCACATATAAGTGATAGTATATGGTGTTAAAGCAAACAACTTTTTATTGAAGTCTAGTTGATATGCAATATTATATTAGTTTCAGATATACAGGAAAGTGATTTAGTTATATATATTCCAGAAATATATATCTACTCTTTACAGATTCTCTCCCATTATAGGTTATTACAAAATATTGAATATAGTTCCCTGTGCTATATAGTAGGTCCTTGTTGTTTTATATGTAGTAGTATGTATCTACTCCTAATCCCAAACTCCTAATTTACCCTCCCCCACTCCTTCGTCCTTTGGTAACCATAAATTTATTTCCTATGTGTGTGAGTGTATTTCTATTTTGTAAATTACTTCATTTGTATCATTTTTTTTAGAATCCACATATAAGTGATAGTATATGATATTTGTCTTTGCCTGACTTACTTCACTTTGATAATCTCTAGGTCCATTTTAGAAATTTTTATCAAGAATGAAAATTGAATTTTATCAAGTGCTTTTTATGTATCTATTGAGGTGGTCATGTCATCTTTCTTCTTAAGCTTTTAATGTGATGATTCCATAAATTGATTTCTTACTGTTAAGCTAACCTTGAAGTCCTAGATAAACCTAACTTAGTCTTAATGTAGTCTTTTTTTTTTTATTTCTTGATTTTGTTTGCTA